AAAACGTAGAGAGAGAAAAAAAATTTTTTAGAATTTTTTTTTTCTTTCGCTCCTTCCACGTTTTTTTTTTCTGGAAACTTTTATCGATATGGTTAAAAAAAAAAAAAGAAAAAAAAATTTCTTTTTTTTCCGTTAAATTTTTCGGGTTAAAAAAAAAAAATTTTTTTTTAAAAACGTTTGAACTTTAACCTTTTTCTTTTTTAATTGGGGGATAAAAGGGGAGCCAACGTGAGAAGCGAGAGGATAAGAAAGACTAAAAAAAAACAACAAAATGATCGATGAAAGCAAAAAATAAAAACAAGATGAACGTTCGTACTCTACGACACTAATGACACCGCCATCGCCACCACCACCACCCCCATCACCGCTACTTCAAATAATTAATAAAAACTTTAAAAAGGGAAGTGGGGGCTGGGGGGGAGAAAAGGCGACGAATAAAAATTTTCATCCAATTAATCAATTTCGAGTGAAAATGCGTAAAAAAAAAAAAAAAAAAAAAAAAAAAAATTAATACCCGGGAAATTTTTTTTTTTTTTTTACAAACAAAGCTTTTAAGCTTCATTAATTTAATTTAATCATGTTTATAATTTTTAATTCCACGATTTAAACAAAAAAAAAATTTTACGACAAAAAAATAAAATTATAAATTCTTTTTCATTCTTTTTTTCCTCCTTTTCCCGCCCCCCCCCCCCGATAATTAGAAATTAGTAAAGCGTGGGAAAAAAAAATTACAAATATTTATTTAATAAGTTAAATTTAAAACGCATCCGAACGTTATTTTCCTCCTTAAATCAATTTTTATTGAGAAAAAAAACGAACAATTTGAAACTTATTAGTTGAAGATTTTTAACTAAAAAATTTTTCCCGTTTGCCCCTCCCTCTTTACTTTTTTTGTTATCCCAGGGGAATGCAGCATTTCGCACTAAGCTCCCCACCTGGTAGCAGGGAGAGTGTGGGACTCGGCCGAAGCCACTACCCAACTAAAACTCCTGGGCGTGTTCCACCTCTTTCCCGGAAGGAGGAGCGTTCGTGGGAGTTTTAGTCTACATTTCAGGCTTAACCCTCTCTTAAACCGGAACCATCAGGTCCACATTCGCGAATTCCACCTGAGAAAGATCCCGGTACTTCCCTTTTTTACCCTTCGAGGAAAATCCCGAGCTGCCGCCAACGTTTTTGCCTGTACTATAAAGAGAGAGAAATATCTGGGGTCCCAAATCCCGTTGATCGTTCATTCGTCTTTCTTTCACGTCACAGCTCTGAATTTTCCCAAACTCACCCCCACAAAAAGGATCGGTTCACCCCCCCAATACCTCAAAAGAGCGCTAGGTCACTTATCCCTTTGTGATCCCCACTCTCGTTTTTCCATCTCCCCTTCGTTCGGTTTTCGAAAAAAAAAAAAAAAAATGATGAGCCCGTGTGGGAGCCGGAAGGGGGTCGCGTAAAGGGGTAAAGGAAAAAGAAAAAATGAAAATTAATAGGGAGGAAAAAAAAACAAAAAAAAAAAAAAAACCAAAAAGAATAAATTAAAAGGAAATGAACGGGTAGGTAATAATTAACTCGTACCGGAATTATTGTGCTCCTTCCTCTTTCCCCCCTTCCCCTCTCCCTCGTCTCCCTTCCTCTCCCTTTTAAAAAAAAGGTAAAAAATTAACTTAAATTAAAAGGAAAAAAAAAAAAAATTATCCGAGTATAAAATAAAATATCGGAAGGGTTTCGGAAACGTGGCGTAAACGGCCGATTCGTTTCCTTTATTTAACCGTAACTTCCGGTTATTTTCATTCAAGATCCGTTTGAGAACGAACATTGATGAAGTAAATGAATCGGTAAAAAAATTTTTTTTTTATTTTCGTTTCAACGAATTTTTATCGCGATCACGATTTTCCACACATTCGTTTAACGTTCGATAAAAAAAAAAAACAAGATGGCGGCGTAAAAAAATTCGTAGTTGATCTTAATAAAAAAAAAAAAATTTTAATTAAACATAATTATTAAAACAACCACGGTGGGAAGAGGGGAAGAAGGGTAGGGAAATGTTTAGGAATTTTTTTTGTTTAATGCGATGATAAACGCGTAAAATTTTCCGACCCTTGACCTTTTTAAAAAAGGTGAAAAACCTTCACTTGGGGATAATTTTAATTTTTTGTTTTAAAATAAAAAAACACGACGTAAAAAAAAAAAAATAAATAAAAATTCCCCCCTTCTCTCCCCGATTAGTTTAATTTTCTTATTTTTAGACCCCAAAAAAAAAAAAAAAATTTTTTTTTTAATGTTGGCATTAAATCATAAGAAATAAAAATTGGCTTTTTTCCCGCCATTTAAATGCCAACAAAACAAAACAAAAAAACTTTTTTTTTACACACCTTTTCCGCTTTTCTTTTTTCTTTGTTTTTTCCTCATCTTTGTATTGTCACCGCACAAAAAAAAAAAAATTCTGGATAATTCATGAATGAATGAAAATAATTTTTTTTTTTTTTTATGTGAATGATCGATTTCCAGGAAA